ACGGAATTTCAATTCAGTGAGGTATGTGGTGCAGGAGCACCACACTTCACTGAAGCCCAAACCATTGAACAAATAGTTAATTTTAAGCAACAACCTGTAATGTGTGTATATAGAGCCTGTCATGTGTCGTTTATATAACAATTTAATAAGATACTATCACATTATCACTGACTAAGATACTATCACATTATCTGAAAACAATATCGTATCTCCGCGACACACGTTCATAATGATGGACCGGGTCGGGCCATACTTGGGCTTTTGTTTTTGTATGTCAAGTCAGTCCGGGTTGGCTAGCAGCCCTTTAGCGTCGAGCTTGGATGGGCCTTCGAGGCAGTCAGTGGGCTTGAGCCGGACTCGGGCATGTGGCCTGTGCAAAGCTCTAAGGCAGCTTTCTTAAATATACCTGATTAATCATATGGCTGTGATCCATTGTAGAGTAACCCTTCCTGAAACCATCCATCTCCCTGGGTTGACTTAAGCCAAGTGTTTCCCTCCCCTTATTTGAAGTTATCTTAGTGAATATATGACAATACTAAAAGTAAGCTAAGGGTTCTGCCACTCGGTACATATTCTTTCTTGTGTACTAACATAATGCTGACATTTTCCCAGCATCCCACAGGCACATCTGGAGTCTTGAAACATTTTGTATGAAGATTCATTAACATTACGGATAACACCCCCCCCCCTTATCAAATCGATCATTATTCTATCTCCCCTTTTGCTTATACACTGGTCATGTCTTCATGGCCCTTCTAATTTCATAGAAGATTAATCATAAAACTTCACAGTGTCTTCTTTCAATTTGATTTCACTTGTGGTGACCCCGCTCGTAACTGCAGCGGACGATCACCGCGGGTTCACGCTTAGCGAGCCACAGGGCCGCTACTGCGTTCACTCGCGTGTAGCGCACCGCTCCACGCGCGCTCAACTGATAAGGCGTTTAGCGCGGCGCGGCAAATAGACAGTGTTCTAATGTAAAAGTACACAACACTTTATTGCCTCTGGCGGCACCCCGAACAACAGTACAACGTCCGCTCCCGGGACGCAGGTAGCAAAGGCACCCGCACGCGGACGTTCACAATAAGGGGAAAACCGCGAGCACGTCGCAGCTGGCAATGGCGAGCTTTGACACGCCGGTCGGGAAAAGGTCCCTCGCGGCTATGCCGCGCACTCTCATGATGGCCAATGGGCCTGGTCGCGAGTGTTAGGGTAAACTTCGTACGCGTAGGCCTAACGCAAGTGCGGCTCGTTGTGGTACGACCACTTCAAGCACTAGGCACCGCTCTGGGCTTAGCGTACGCTACCGAAGCCAACACTCAAGTAAACACGCCTGCCGAGGTACCCAAGGCACCCCAGGCAGGCTACCGTCCGCGATTCCCAAAGGGGACGCGGACGAAGGAAAACACGTGCTTACCTGGCGCCGTCCACGGAGAAAGAGCGCTCTCTCGGCGCGCGCGTACCGCGCACCGTGCCCGCACGTGGCGCCATCTATCGCCACGTGGTGTTAACAGGGCAGGAAAGCAAAAGGGTGTGGCCGTGTGGCGGAATGCCCGCGAAAATGGTCGCGGGCGCGCCTCAGATCCCCACACACTCAAGATTAGTTAGATGGCTTATCTGTAAACTGTTCAGTTGAGCATAGAAGTCGTCTGTCATCTCTGCTATGCTATCGAAATTGCTAATAACATTTCCCTGCTCATCTTTCACGACATATATTATGAATTTTTCTTTGTGGAGTTTCTTTTTAGTTATTTGTTGCCGTCCCTCTTTTGTTTTTTGCTGTGTCCATCTTTCCGACATATTTTGTATATCATTTACTTCCTTCTTATTGATCAGCTTTGACAGTTAAGCCAGTTCTGTTTGTTCTCCTCATCTAGATGCTCAATCTTTTTCTTTTACAGTGAAGCTATTTTCAATCGAGCCTTTCATGTCAGGGGGTCATCGTAAACACGGATGTTCCACAGAAAGTGGGTAAATCTCACTACAGATATGTGCCACTGCTACTACCACTCGCACTACTCACCACTACGCCCACCACTTCTCCGGCCACTCCTTCCGATCACCCACTTCATTTTACTTTATTCAACCAGCTAAAATAATTGGCGAAATAAAGGCTTCCTTGTAAGCCACCAGCTTTGCTGTTTCATGTGTGTCTACTCAGCGGAGCTGGCTGAAATATTTAATTAGATATTTTGGTGCTTGAGAGAACTTGCCTGCTTGGTGCCTTACTTCCTTTACCTCAATTTTCAATTGCTTCTTTAGAAATTGGGCTCGTTATACAGTTTCATTTTATTCTCTATGCTGTTTTTATATTCCTGTTCTAAAGCTGTGCTTTTGTTTGCAAGGACAATGAATATATCTATTTTAACCACAATGACTATGCCTAGCTTAGCCTTTTTTTTGGTAGCAACTAACTTTGCTTTTTTTTCCTTTACAACTTGACAGTGATGCATTCATTAGCCTATAATTACTGCCTTTTACCTTGCCAGTGAGTTCTATTTTTTGCACGTTGCCAGAGTCCCCACACACAATTGTGCCAGAGTTCCGACATAGTATGAAATGCATTTTATTTCATGTTCCTCCCTTAGGGATTTTCCAGCTTTGCTTCCTATTTTCATGCTTCCAGAACAAGTTGTTCATTGCATGTCAATCTTCTTCCACAATATCATTGAACGTCCCTCTCTACTGCCCTATTCAGTAAATATACAAGCACCAATTGCCTGTCCCGCCTGTTTCTGCCCACTTTTTAACGAACTTGCCCATGACTATAGTGTTCTGGGTTTACACTTTTAGCATTGATGATTCAATATCCACATAGGTCTGTTCTTCACTGTCATGGATGACCAGCAATTAAAGTACAGCGTTGTACTCCTTTTAGTTTGCATCCTATTAACATTCTTACAACAGATGCTGAACTTTCGCAGACGCTGCAGAATTCATCAATGCTGCCTTCACTCTCTTTATGAATTGAAAACCTCATGATATATGCTCTCTATTCAGGGGGCCCTCAGCTGCAGAGAGCTCCCTGAAACCTTTATAGACTTGCAAAGGTGCTTACATTCTTGCGACATAAGGTGTTGGAAATTAAAAGGGCCCTGTGAGACATCTCTGAGTTATAATGGAATGGGCTATTATCGCATGAATTTTTAGAATCCATAAAGTACGAGTGGAGTTACAGATATTTGTCGCACGTTTCAGCACTTTCTCCTTTTGTGCTGAAAGCTACGCAGGGAGAGGGATGACAAGGGGTAAGAAGATGAGTCCCTTTGTCGATGTGTGTTATGACCTTGAGCACTTTCTTTTCTTGTTTTTCTTTAAGCGCAGTTCACTTTCAGCATGCATGGGTACATGGTGGCATTCAGTGGTGGCCACAGCCACTATGCAGCAAAATCGGCCAACAATCATGGACGTGGGTATATGGCATTATTTGAGGAGAGAAGAGGGAATAATTTCTAGCTGACTTTGACAACTATTTGTAAATTCTAGGCTGCGTGCTGCACTATATTGTTTAGCTTGCATGTTCTTGGGAGCCTTGACTACTGATCAGTAGCATTTGACGATGCCCTAAGAATGTTTCAGGGCTCCTTTGAGTTGATAAGCCTAAAACAGCTATACCTCTGTAACACAATGCATTATTATGAGCTTGGTTTGGGCACACAGTAAAGATCCCTCACGAGGTAAAAATTAGTCCAGGGCAAAGAGGCTTAAAAGGAATGCTGGAGCGGAAATTATGTACCGGTAATGAAGTCAGACCTCTGCCATTTTATTACAGTTGCAATAAAGCAAACATGCAGCAAAGGAAAAAGCAGTGATTTTCTCACACACCTTATTTTTTTACACTATGAAACAGTTAAATTTTCCAAACATATTGCTTAATGTATGTGTGTATGTGTTACTAGTTTCGTTAAGAAGCTTCAAGATCTTGTCAAATGTATTACCTCTGTTATAATTAACCCAATATTCACATAAGAAGAACAAAAGTAATTTATCTGTATTTAGGCCTTACACAATAACTTAAGTTTTCTGAGGCAATGCTTATGTAAATGCTGGCTTCACACTTGCCACTCAAAAGCTGCAAGAGCTTCCACTTCTAAATTACTTTTCTAAAGCTCTTTGGTATGGGGTCCCACACTAGTGTGCCATAAGTGGATAGTGGCATGTAAGATGGCAAAATTAATTTTACCTTTTCGTTTAATCAATTTAATCTATGGGTCTGACTTGGGCGGAACACACTGACTACACACACGCATGTAGTAGAGAGAGAGGGTAGGAAAGCATATAAAAAATCAGACAAAAAGTAACTTATTTGGCGACCCTAACTATTACTGGTTCTTAAAAAAACACTAAAAAGTGGCACAACAAATATATATTGACCTGAAAAATAGTTTGAAAGTTGGCCTGTCCTTTAAGTCTTTGTTATACATGTTTCATAGCATTCTTAAGATTGCACATTAACCAACTATCTTAGTAGGAAGTTTTGATTTGAACCAACTATTTCAGTAGGAGCCATGCCCTGGCTCCTTTGATGAGCAATGCATTGCTATATGCATCTCGTGTTTTTTTTCCCCTTTTTTATCCCTTGATATGTTGTCTCGGAGCATTAGACATAATTGTACTTTCCTTTGTTTCTAAATTCCAAGATTCTCACTCGAGCTGACATCCTGCTGTTAAGTAGTGTAAATGATAAGTCTTTTTGCCCATAGACTCCATAAGTCTTTAAATTTCACCTCTTGAATTTGCGAACATTCAATTCGATATTCGGTCGAATGTCTTTTTTTTCCCTCTCCAATATTCGTATTTAATTCCAAAATTCAGCTCTTTGAACAACTCCATGGTCACCATTTTTCTATGCAGCAAAAAACAAGCAACATATACACTCTACGCATCTATATAAGCACACGGTAAGCACACTGTTAAAAGCACACTGTACTGCCTTCGCGTCACCGTAACAAGTAGGTGCTTATTTTTCAGTACCCGAAACGTGCGTCGTAGGCACTCACTTGCAAGTTCGTATGGTTGAAAAATATCCGGTCTTCCGTAAAGAAGCATCTTTCTTGGCCACATGTCCTCGTGTGACCAGCTCGTTTCGTGAATGGTGTCCACCACAGGATGATCGGATCGGAAACATTCCGAGGCACTCCCGTGTAATGACCTGGATGCGGAGTACAACTAGTTGCGGTACTTCGGTGATTTTCACGTAGTGCTATCACAAGGCAATGAAACCGTTCCGGCTTAAAAGAGAACGTTGTGATACACCTTTTTTTATGCCTTCGAGATACTCATTCAGACAACTGCACGATCGCATTTCGAAAGATCTTACGGAACACAACAAATGCAGATCATTTGAATATTATTCGTGGAGAACATCAGAGCCCCAAAATAACACGACAAAGTCTGAACAATTGCGCATGCACAAAACAAAAAGGCCCATCGTCTTTTTTGAGCGCGCCGAAACTTACTGTGATCGCTTCGGTAGTGGCCGTAGAAGAGCGGCTCGTTCTCGGCGTTCTGCGCGTAAGAATTCGAATCTTGATTGTAGCAAAACCACTGAGCAGCGCGACGCTCCGATTACTTACCGATAATAGGAGGTAAGACACACCGTATGAAAATAAGACGAGGGTTAGCAAAACGAGTGAGATACGAAGTAAAAACCGCCTCGATCTGAACTTGTCGGCTAGGCAGAGAGCCACCATATCATGACAAGCGTGCGCTCGCAGCCGTCTGTAGTCACTCACTTCAGTCGACTTTCGGTTTCGATTTCGTTTTTTTTTATCGGGTTGGGAGAAATGTGAGAACTTCGCAGGAGTTTGAGAGGAAGGCACACACACAGCTTAACGGTATAAGATCACGCGCTTTCAAGGAAATCGGTGAGTGAGACTATTGGAATGGACGTAGAGGTAAAATTCCTGAACCTCGCTGAATAAATGCTCCTCGTAAACGTGCGCGCGGGCTGTACTAGAAAACAAAAGCAAGTCGGCAGTCCCCAGTCAAAAATATTCAATGGGTCCAACTGGAAAATTTCCATTTAAAATCAATGGGTGTTGGACCAGTAGGATTTTCGCCACCCATTGAACATTATCCCGTTCGAATCAATGGGTAAACCCTTATATTCCAAAGGGGGATCCAAGTGGCTCACCACTTCAATGCAACTGGTTCAACAGGGGACCCCATTGGCTACCAGTTAAGTGTGGCTGGTGCTGAGCAATTGCCAGTTAGTTGCAATGGTGCGCACCATTTGAAATTGGTTGGTGACAAACTGGTAGCCCCTTTGGCCTCACATGGCCAGCCCATGAAAACGAAATGGTACGCTGGTGGTTGTCCAATTGGTGTGAATTGGCTAACCCGTTGAATCTAACTGGTGGTCAATTAAATATCCCGTTGATTTCAAATGGTCAACCCATTAAGACTAAATGGTACGCAGGTGGTTGTCCACCTGGTGTGAATTGGCTGACCTGTTGAAGCTAACTGGTGGTCAATTGGAAACCCCATTGACCTCAAATGGTCAACCCATTAATACTAAATGGTATGCAGGTGGTTGTCCACCTGGTGTGAATTGGCTGACCTGTTGAAGCTAACTGGTGGTCAATAGGAAACCCCATTGACCTAAAATGGTCAACCCATTTATACTAAATGGTATACTGGTGGTTGTCCACTTGGTGTGAATAGGCTGACCTGTTGAAGCCAACTGGTGGTGAATAGAAAACCCGTTGACCTGAAATGGTCAACCCATTGAAAATTAATGGTAGGCACGTGGTTGCCCGGCAGGTCTCAGTAGACTAACCCGTTGAAGCTAACTGGTAATCCTGTGGTTCCAGATGTTTGGCCCACTGATCGTAACTGGCATTCCAAACAGCCCCCAATTCATTCTAGTTGGTAAGCAAATTCAATGTGGCTGGTAACCACATGACTTCCCACATTGTTGCAAATGGTCAGCACTTTGATGGTAATTGAGACTCCAATGATTCCATATGTTTCAATAAAAGGTTGAGTTGGGCTAGTTGATACATACTTGGATACATGCAGCGCGAACTTAGACAAAGAACACAGACAAGCGCTCGTCTGCGTTGTGACTCTCTGGTCTTCGACCAAGCTGCACTGCATGTATCCAGATGATTGGCCCAGTGACAAAAGCTGGTGTTTAGCCAGTCACCATTCTACCTGGTAAGCCAATTTAATATGGCTGGCCATTAGTTTCTGGTAAGCACTTGGTTGACGCTAAATTGCTAACTGCATTTCAGCCAGCCAGTGGTTGGTATACAGAGAGAGCCAACTGAAGCTAAGTAGTAGTGTAGTAATTGCAGTCTCTTGGCTGACCTATAAACATGATTATCACATTTCTGCGGATGCAAGTAGAAAATGACAATCCTGTAGAAGGCTGGCTGTCATCACACTGCACTTCATTAATTGCAATTTCACAACACAGTGGAAACAGCACAGGCTGGATTACCTAGTGTGAATGTGACATTAATGCACACTCAAATGCATGCACATACAAGATAAAAACAATGGTAGAGAAAAAAAAAATATGAAAGAATGAAAATTTATTCACACATTCCATAATATTTACACTATTTAGAAAATGCACCAATGGTCCTCCTCTGTTAAACTTCCGCAACGCCCTGGTTGTCCTTCGCCCTGCAAATGTTTTGCAGAATTTATACATTTAGTCAGCCACACAATGGCTTACATTCTTCCAAGTCTAGATGTGATTTAACATAAAAACATTAACATAAAAATAGCTATGCATGTTGAAGGGGTACAACAGCTGTGCCAATTACGCGAATTTGATACAATTCCCCGCTTTTGCGCCGAGCTGCCAAAACCATATTGCGCCACGCTGCGCCAAAATGCCAGACGAGCCTCCAAATTTTCTCAGTCTCTTTCTGTACATGCATGTTGCAAGCAGATGAATATGGCCAAGTTTCTCTTAAAAAAAGGGGGGGGGGGGAGTCCTTTGACACAAAGAACACACTTATCTTACCGCTTGGCAAGCTTCTCAATATCTGAAAGCTTCTCAACAATGAAGTGGTTCATCTGTTTGACTGCCAACGGCAGTACTCCTGCAGGCACGCCTTGATGCTCCAGACGTGCTCTGTAGCAGTCTGAAACAACAAAAATTATCAATAAATAGCCTTGAAGAAACCAGCTGCTTAAAGAACTAATAGCATCGATATTACTTTAAGAACACAAAAGTTCAAAATTGAACTTTTAGTCATATTTCTTGATGCAATGAAGTGTTATATGCTGAATGGCCTAGAATATGCCTTAGCAGCACAGGCTTGAACAATACAGAAAGCATTCTCCAGTTAGCAAAAGTGTTCCGTTCCAGCATTTATTAGAAAAAGGAAACTGCGAACTTAGCGTGCACATGCACAAAAATAATCTAAAAAAGTAACATTTCACAGCTCTCCACTCGCACCATGTAACTGTGTGGATTTATATAGTGCAGGAAGAAAGCAGAGAACACTATTTCTTTTTTTGTCATTTTTTATGAAAGAGATATAAGTTATGATGAAAAAAATGCTGGCAGTCTACACACTAGCTCTATTGTTGGCTTTTCTTTTTTTCGACTATCTTTTTGAACTACCAGTGCATTTAAGAGACTTAAGACTTTCACCTGCCTGCACTCCTGACTAAAACAAATGAATTTAATAGTAAGTAAGAGGCAAGGTGTTGGGTCACATTTTTACAACTACATAGTTTATGTAAAATTGTGTTCATAACTGAAGTCAAAGCAGACAGTAAAGTTTGTAGTGGCTTCAAAATAGACTCAATTGCAACCGAGCTTTGCTGTGATTTCATGTACTAAGAATAAGATTGGTTCAATATGCATTCCAAGAGACTGTCTGCACACTTACCACGCATTACGTCCAACTTCCACGGTGTTAGGGGAGCCTTGCGTGGACGGTTAGGGTACCGTGGACAATGTTTTCCTGCATAACAGATATCCACAACAACGAATTCCCCCGTTACCAACTGACACACACTATGCTTTTGTATTATAACCAACCATGCAGGGAGCGCTCCTTAAGGTTGTCTTTCGACCAGATGGTGACTAGCAGGTCCTTGACAAATAAGGAATCCTTATGATGGGACTGCACATGTTCCCATGCACCTTTCTTGACCATAAGCCCTCGTCCAATGTCCACCTGCACGGAACATATGCATTCTGAAGGCATCCATGTGCAGTGCAACCTGTATTGCATATCATAAACAACAAAGGTCTATTCATTTCACCAGCACTTTGTCAGCCAGTTTTGTGGTGCTGCACTCTAGCATTCTTTCTATGAACTGCACATGGTGGTGTCAGCACCACAGTATTCATTGAGAGAAAGTGCAGCCTTTGTGCAAGACCAGTTTACAAAGTGCCTGCACCTTCTCAGTGAGGTTGTGCTGAATCCGCGCAGCACGAGATGGCTAAAACAGCAGCAGACAAGGCCAAGTGTATTCCTTAATATTTCTGTCCAACAAGTACGTTAGTGAAGTTGTTTTAGTAAGTTGTGTTGCTGACAACGAAATTCATTTTTTTTGGTTGTTCATAAGTTCTGCTTAAAATTTACACATATCTATAATGATCACTGAACTCTTTTGGAATGTCTTGCTCAGCTGTGCAGAGACAAACTTCTATGACAAGTAATCTATAATGCTCAATCTTGCTTTATATTATTTTAACATGCTTTCAAAAGAACAGTTGTTTGTAATTTGGACAGCTGCACATTATTGACATTCCAGATAGAATACCATTGTTTCACTGTCATTCGGTTGCGGATTGGATGAACCTGGGCGAAGGGCTCGCTCTGTCAAGGTGTCTTGTAGATCCTCAGACACGGAGGGGCTCGACTGGCTGCCATCCATGATCCTTTTCATAATTCTGCAGCCTGCATTTATACATGAGGTGCCGTGCTGTTTGCATTGCCCAGAGAGGAAAAAGAGCTGACAAAATATTTTCATTAAATTTCATCAAACAGCTGTAAACAATAGCCATTTGCAGTCTAAACTCGAAATATCTTCACTTAAAGACTGCCGAACGTTTTATGGTAACAAGCTGTACACACTGCTAAATGTCAGAAGAATGGCATTAATGCTTTCACAGCACAAAATCAGTACAATGAAGACATTTTCTGCTTCATACCTTTCATGTCTTCCAGTGCAGAAATAACCTTGTCCTGAAGCTCCATGTTCAGTCTTCTGAGTTGAGCCATCTCCCTGTCTTTTTCTTCATTTTGTTTTCGCAGTTGGCGAATGATGGTAGATTTTTTCTCTACCTGCTCTTCAAGGTTATCAATGGTTTCATGAGCCCCCTGAAGGCGCCCACTGTCCATTGCTTCTTTGTGGTGCTTTTTAGAATGTGGCCCATCTTGATTTTTCGCCTGCCTCTTCATATTTTCTTTCTTGCTTTTTAAAAGCTGAAGCAGGCGTGCCTCTGCACCACTTGTTGTTTTGTTTTTCGTTTTTTCTTTGATAGGGCTCTGGGCGAAAATAGAAAATAACTTGTTACACACTGTTTACACAAGTGTTGACAGGACCTTTTGTAGGAGGTTTAGATAATAATTTACCTCCGCTTCATTCTCGTAGTCCGAAGACGCCGGCGAATAAACCCTCTTCGGAATACGCGTTCTCTCTCTGGCCTCTGTCTCCGCGAAGTCCTCCGATTCTGGAAAACGTGAGGGCGGATTGCAACATTAACATTTACTGAGTTAGTGTCACATCATCCTCTGACGCGTGCACATTTCACGATCT